AACGCAAAATGAAACCGGTCTAGCTAGATGCCGGTCTAGATGGGAAAATCTAGACCGCGGTCAATATCGATTTCAGCCAATCAAATTCGTGAATTCGTTTGTTCCCAATCTTTGTGAGACAGCCATATAATAAATGCGATATATTGGCCGTTGAGGCTTAGTTCGTTTTTTACATCTATGTATGTAGTGCGACTATTGTTGTTGCGAAAAAGGATATTCAATTATCTTTATTTGTTTGAATGTCTTTACATCATTAAAGTAAAGAATTGAATATCAGTTGCCTGTGACCTGTGACCCGTGACCTTTGCCCTCCATATTAGACCTGCCGCAATTAGGCCGCCGGCAAGACTGGATATTGCTAAATGTAAACAGAAGTGCGACAAAGGTGAAAAGTTACTTAATCTGGTTATCTGAAACATGGAAAGTACATGGCTGTTCTTTCCACACAGCCACTCTTTGCACTTTGAAGGGATTCATGAGATGAACCACGAGCACTGAATAACTGAAATTCCACCTACACGAAGCCAGGTATACCCTCTGTCGAACCTCCTATTCTTGTGTCGAAAGGGCTCTGCTTTGCCATGCAGTGGCCCTTGAAAGATCCATCAGCTAACAGTTTTGCTCGACAAATTTGCTTCAAAACAGATAGTCCTCGCTCAAATTATCTACCTGTTGAATATTTTGGCTTACAAAAAGTGCCAAGTAAAGATTTCTCAATGTAATATAAACCACAACATTAACGAACCTAAGCAAATGAGGAAGAATATTCGAGCGAAATTCTGCATTTTGATCAACCTACTAAACTTCACCCATTAGGTGCCATTTTGAATTTCATCCAAGCCTGAAACGCGACGTCACACTGGCGGTGAGTTGCTTAGAGACACCCCCTCCCTCCAGCTCCTGATGGAAAACATTTTTTTATTATTATTATTTTTTTACTTTAATTAATTGCTACTTACACTGCTTACAATACAATATTAATGTAGTTACTTACACTACATACAAAAAACCTTATTACTTACGCCACTTACGATATAACACTTACTCTAAATAATACGCATACTCACGCTACTAACAATACTAATACTTACACTACTTACAATACAACATAATTAGATTACTTCCGCTACTTACAATTCTAGCACAGCAAGATCATACCAGTTTACTCCTGTCAGTAATGTAAATTCCGAATTGCGAATTACAGAAAATATGCATGGTATATATCCGCCTTGTTTCTTTTCCTTTCATTTTTAGTTTCGTTTATATTAGAAATAAAAACATGTTCACTGTCACTTTAACTTTCGACAGTGGCCTTCTGTATAAAATTGATTCATGACACGCTTTCAGCTGTTACAGCAATTCTGCATTTTGTTCAATTTCCGTCTGAAATTGAACGCGACAAGTTACACTGGCTGTGTATTGTAAGTACTTGATCACTATTTGTATCTAGATATTCAGGATTATTTTGCCACAATTTTTCATGCTTATGTACTGATAAATGACAGCTGGACTAAAGGCTTGTTTCTATATAATCGTTGGTGAACCGCTCAAGAATCAGTTGTGTTTATTTACGACTCCCGTTTCCAGTTGATCGTCACGATCGATACGGAGTAAAAGTTATAATGTTCTAGGTGATCTATATTGTTACATTCTGACACTTTACATCACAGCAATCGCCTAACATTCTCTGCAAAGTGCCTTGACTATGTGATCGCAGAGACAATTGAGGTATTTCTCCGCTATTGTTGTCGCAATTGTCGCAACTTTCGAGCCGGCTGGTGATCAGTTGTTTCAATGAAATCACTGAAGACTTATTTTCAGCTATCACAATGCACTTATGGGTCGAAACCAGCCTCTACATGGTTTGACGTGTTTTGCTGTCCTCGTTTCGCTTTCAAACTGGGCCATTTATTATTAACAGCTAACCTGGAGGATTTCAACACAACCAGCTGAGACTCAACTTCTGTCGGATATCACAGCGTATTAGGAATAATTTACACTTCGCCTTTTCACCGAAACTTTAAGCTGCATCGAATGATACATTCATCTCGCTGTTACTGAACAGGAGAGAGCGAGCGAGTAGTTTTGTATTACATGACAACGAAGTCGAATCAATTGACGATACACATTATTAAAATGCCACTTGATTTGACTTCGGGAGAATTCACCGTTCTGTTTTCCTTTATAGCGAGATTTCTGGAACTTGGATTAAATTCCGAGGAGACTGATAAGGCGGCTCACGAAGAAACGGAAATATGACGCATCAGACATCACTATTGAAATAAGATTCTATTCTTCGTTCGTTCAAAGGTCAAAACGACAAGGTACAATTCATGTTTACCCTTTGGGGTTAACTCCAGTTTACCTCCATACTTTCCTCCTACATTTTTGTTCTGAAATCTTCCTCTTCCTTGAAATTTGAGTTCGAGACAACGGATTCGAATTAGGGAGGCCCTAATAAGTATCCTTCCCAGCTAGCCTCTTCCAGGCGTTCAGTTAGTTCAGGGTCGTACAGGGGTATTCTCGTGATGCGCGATTAGCTGATTTTATTTTCCGTGAAACGTAAATTTAGGAATTATTCTTCGTGACTCGTGACCTGGAGGTTTTGCGTGACCCGTGAGAAATCTGAATTATTAACCGATATTCGTGATTTTACTACTCTATTCTACGTGATTTTGAGACGCAAGTCCTCCGAATGGTTAGAGTTTCCTATCGAGAGTGAATTAGGTATGCTATTTGCAATATGGAGCCTTGACTTAGCCATACGTGATTTTGCTTTCTTCAAACACTGTTTCTAGTGTAAGAACCGTTATTAAAAAGAGTATCTTAGGCCCAGTTCAGACGCCAAACTTTTCATGAGCCGAACCAAATATATTGAATTAAGTACATGAAAAGTTCGGCGTCTGAATCAGTTAAGAACGGCTATTTGAATTTGGAACGGCCCAG